AACTTAATATTACCAATAATTACTGCATAACTGAAAGTGACCATGAAATATCTAGCGGTAACAATTGATAGACATCTTCATTGGGACTTACAAATGAAAGAAACAATAAGAAAGATAAGAGGTGCACTTTCTAAATTCCAATATCTCAGAAACTTCCTATACATTTAATATTTGAAAACCCTACATTTTGCACTTGTTGTCATACGGGATAATAGGATGGGGAGAAGTTAAAGATTGTTATTTGGTGAATCTCAATACAATTCAAGAGTGGATATTAAAAATACTTTACAAAAGCCGAACATACTCAAGTGACAGTGTTTTCAGAGACACACAGGTCCCTGACATGAGGCCATTATTCTGTATGAGTATTCTTAATTACATTCAAAAAGGAAATATCCAGTTAATCCTAGCTGGGCACTCCTACCAAACAAGGAACAGAAACAATTCTGTGGTCGCCCCTCGTTGTGGGTAAACGATTGGACAGAGGAGTGCATGTTACTTGGGACCACGAATTTATCATATAATACCCGATGTAATCAAAGACAATCATAATAACAGAAGTTTCAAGAAAAAAGCTAAAAACTGGATATTTCTCGCCGGAAGATCATTTTTCCAGAAACTGGTTGTTGATCAATATAATTAAAAATATAATCAAACTTTACCCCATTTGAATCCACCAAAATAACAAGACAAACAAATTATAATATTATAGGCGCTATGTTCAGAAACTTCCATGTAACACAATGAGTTTTCTCAACCTATTATTCTTATTATTCTGTAGTATTTAATCTCATTTCATACTAGTTTATACTTGGTCATCTTATCACATACAAAATGTATTTTGCGTTCAATCGTCAATAACTATTGTCGCTGAACTACTGCAAATGTTAGCCCGATCATATGCACTATTTTATAATTTAGACCGATTTTAATAATTTGTCAAGAACCATTTTATATTACTTCTAATGATGAATTTTAACTCGACTCATACGTAGGTACCAACTTTTTTATTTACTGATATGTCTATATCACGTACAAGCAAAATCCCTTCATCGATGTTCCCTTTTGTGATGCCGTTGTTTATTTACTCCTTTTTTATATTTTAGAATTATGTATATTTTTTATCTATATTTGGTAAATAAACATTATTATTAATATAATGAACAGCAATCAGCAATCCTCCTCTCGACATTTTTTTACCCAACTAAATCGGCATCATTAGGAGAACTACACTAATACTTAATTCTCAGTTTGCTTATTTGTATCTATCCCAATGAGTGTCATCTCCTGATCATTCAGTAATATACTGATGAATATACCCATGTAGCAAATGGGTGGCAGAAAAGTTTCAATATATTTATCGATTCAACTGAATACTGATGAGACTTTTATTCCCCTTTTGTGAACGCTTTCGAGAACAAAAGAATGAAAACCTCCCATTTGACAAAGATGCGGAATATTCATAATTCTCTCCATTCACATTTTTAATAAACCAGATAGATCCCCTATTGATTTCTCAGCTTCATGCTGTTAGAGAGCCTCTCTGTTTTCGCGAATTGTTCAATTTTCGTTTTTGTCAGACGTTTGGACCGAACTTGATTATCATATATTTCAATGGTATATGCGTCTTTTGCTACAAAATTCAAATCGACTACAGTAATAAAAATGTAAATGTAAATTCGTCGTGAATAACATGTAAAATACAAATAAATACTATATTATTTATCAAAAATAACAGTATTCCTTTACCATATGTATGTTTACATATGTATGTGTAGGTTCAAGAGAAAGTTTTTGGAAATATTAAAAAACTGTAGATACTGTAACGAATTAAAGAATTTACTGTCTTAAATAAATTTATTTCTAACAATATTTCACTATCGCAAACTAATTTATTTACAACACTTAGCACTTGATTTATTTTCACCATTTGAATTCTTTATTTAACCGCTCGATTCACTTTCTAAATTTGACTGCCCTCTCTCTGGACGGAAAGCAAGCCTTATATATCGGTAACGATCGTTCTAGATTTTTCTAGTGGTCTCTGTACTCGCCTAGTATTTTCCCGGCGGGTCAGACTGCATTCTTTAGCGGTGATGTCATGTGTTTATTCGCCGGCTGAGATATCGGTCAGGGACGGCTTCAGATTCGTTACAATACGTTACATTTCGGCTGATTGGTCCTCATCAATATTGTGTTGCCAAATTCAAGGATGATCAACACTTTGTTGCAAATCTAAGCACAAATGCACGGAGTCGTCAAAAAGAGTCAACCTTACATCTGTGACGTTGGGTTAGTAAATCTTGTTTTCACAAAAAATTACTGAAATCGCCACAGAGACAGCTATAGCTACATGCGTGATATTTGAGTTCAAACTATACTTCACCATACATCATTTCCCACAACACATTATAAAGTAATAAGCTATCAGAATATTAATATGATTGTTTTTGACAAAAAGTTCTGATCTTATTTGATATTTTCTTCCAGCTTATGAGCTATCACCTGATTTTTTATTAAAATTAATTCTATTACTATCTAAGTTGCTGTCTTCATCTTTATCAAATAATGTATTATCATTTCAACCGCCATCACTATCATTATTGAACAATATACTCTCCAGATATCTATTCTGCCTTTAAAATTATTCTATTCCCCTCCACTTCATGAAACATTTCTTTTCCTTGAACATACTTCATTCACCACTCAGAATACTTTTTCGGTCGTAAAACATTATAATTATCACCATAACGGTACTAAAAACACAATATTTCGACGCGCGTTTGGCTAAGTTACCATCATCAGTAGATGCCTAGTTTTAGTCGCGCATGGTTATTTAATTCGTCCTTGAAATTTTGGCTGAGGACGAATGAATCAGTCTTGTCGTGTTGTGAGTTTGCCTGTAAGCACTTGAATGTGATGATGTATTACTGACCCGCTCCGCGGGTGAGACGGGTTAGTTCAGGTGAAGAGGTTATATAACCCATCGTAACTGATGAGTCAGCTCTTTTATTGTATCCCTTGATTTTTCTGACATTACCCATCGTCGTTTTCTGAAAACCACTTACTTTCCCAGACTTTGGCTTGCAGGTATTGTCGGTACCTGCAAGGGGTTCCCTGCTCCGGTGTTTCGGGGGAGGATTGATCTCTATAATCCTGCTAGGAGGATTCTCATTCAATATTGTTTAGTCAGCTATGTTTTTACAGTAACCCAGTTGAGCAGCTACCAGCTACGAGGATGCCCACCTTTCAGAGCAGAATAAAACCTGCCCATCCGTTTACTCACATCTCTATAAAGTAGCAAAAATGGCAATAGAAAAGCAGATCTCATTTTATATGTGTGAATATAATATGATTACTGCTGTACAATCTGGCATCAGATAGCACTACTAACGATGCCTAGTTTTACTCCACTACAAGAAGATGTATAAAAAACGTAACCACTTTGGATTCTCAACTTCATCTCCTTCCATAAGGGAAAATCATTCAACGAATCGACCACAAAGTATGACCTTGAACATTAATGTGGAAGTTGTGAAGATGTTTGCTAAAGGTGTTCCACAAGAATCTATTTTAAGCCCCTTAGGGTCTCGGATCGTTACATTCCACAACACCTCGGTTTTGGTTAGCCCTACTTCCCCTCAGAGAACAGTGGAAGTATGTATTTCATCAGTTCGGACTTCCATTGTCTAATATAATATAAATTGATTTGAAATAATATTATTAACAAAAAATGAAAAAATAAAAATTAAAAGATTCCAAACGAAGTAACGTCACGACGTTTCGATTGTTTGTATCCACAATCGTCTTCGAGTGATACCTGGAGTTATTCCTCCGAGAACCGACTATTTATAGGTCATTCGAGTGCTTTCACCTATTCCCTCTTCCCTCTTTCTGCTTCATTGGTGTTAGCGGGAGATGACCGTTTGGCGTGAGTTGGTCGTTTTTCGCTTGATTAGAGGTTTCCATATGTTACGTATTTCTACGCTAGCTTGACTAAATGCGTTGTTGGACAACATATACGCGGCTTCTTTGAATTTTCTCCTAAACCAGTGTTCCTCTTTGTGGATGATTTCAGCTTGAGCCCACTTGATATTATGTTGATGAGTCCAAACATGCTCTGCTATTCCGGATTTGCTGGTTTCTCCTCGCTGTGTGTGTTTCTTGTGCTCAGCAATGCGAACTTGGAACAATGGAACAATGGAAGTCCAAACTGATGAAATACATCACGAAACATTGTCAACCACCTTCAAACAAAAGTGGAAGTATCATCAAAGTTGGTTCAATAGTTTTCAAGATATGAACTAGTACGTATGTGTGACTGCCTGGCTCATTTCCGGTGTAGTGTCACAGGAAAAACATCCAAAACCTTGGTCAAATCCTAGTGCAAAATGGCCTCACTGTACATATCCGTGACGAGTACTGAAAGGTTGCCAGACCATTCGATACAAGCTACTGGAGTGGAATATGTTAACTCAATTATATAAAAGTAACAAAATTCTCTGAATATTAATAGAAAAAGGATACCCTCTTATCGCAAAAAAATCAACTAGTCTTTAGTAAAAGATTTTATTAATGCTCAGATCGAAATTTATTCAAGTCACACTTTACTGTAAGACAATCACTGGATAGTTCACAAAACCGCAACAACCGGTTGAGGAAGCTATTTTATACCAAAACATGTGTTGCGGTTCAGTAAACTGCTGTGCAAAACAATCGAGCTATAATTTTATATGTTCAGTTGATATGCAAATCAGTGAACAAGCTTCGGAATGAACGTTCCAACTGAGCCAAAACCAAAGTGATGGTAACAGTTTTTCAGACTACCGCGGTGTTGTGCCCTCTTACTTCTTGCCAGATATCAAAGGAGATAATATCAAATGCCTATTTTAATTTTTTCATCACTTCTATGAGTATTTTTTCTTTAAAATATTCAATTCTGAAGAATAACCAACTCTTCTAATATTATCCGAAATGTGATGACTGTTTTTCTTTTACAGGGCAGGGAACAAATGAGAATTCCAACTGCTCAAGATACAATCGAAGAAACTCCACCACCTACTTCAACTCTTCGCAGTCGAAGACGTTTGGCGAACTGCTTACTATGTTTATCACTTTTCTTCATAATCTGTTGGTTCCCGTATGTCGTATGCCAGTTTTATGAAGAATTAATGCACACTCCTCCCGAATATGTCCAACAAATCACGCTTTTTCTCGGACATATGCATTCTGCTATTGGTCCTATCCTTTACTGGAGTATGAACCACAAATGGCCTAAAGGACCCTGTAGTAGAATTCGAAATCTAACAATATACAGAAGTGCTTCTTCTACCAATGAAGCTGCTCTTGGTCCCTTCAATCCCCGTCTGGTTCGCCCTCCACCCTATAGGAGACGTTCGTCTCAATATCTGTATTAACTCTGTGATCACCCTAGCCTGACCCGAGCAACTGACTCAGGATGTGCAATATCTGTTTTCTGTTTATCCTTTAAAGTCTAAAAAGCCACGTTGAAATAAAAACAACAAAAAACAATTATAAAATCAAAAATTTATCGGAAGTTATAATTGTGTGATAGAAAAAGGCTGAATAGGACATTTTAAATGTTGATGTTTTCTACTTCTTCCCCCTCTTCCACCAATTTCTGAATTTCCTCAAATTCTTTCCATTGAGATTTTATGGTGTTGGTGTTACTTCTCTATTTGCCGTTTTAAGTGTGATACAAACAAAAACTCTACTGAGTTTCAAAATGTTAACCATGTCATTCACGATGTTATATGTTTGATGTTGTCAACGATTTTTCGAGTTTGAGCATATTCAGAAAAATGTTGAATTTCGAAGGGAATTTCTCCTGGAATAAAACTATCACAACATCTCTCGGAAAACTATTTTCTAAGGGTGAGTATGAAATTTTACTCAATGTTTCTTGTCTGAAAAAAGTACTCATTTATATTTTGTGATTGTTTGACCATTTTGGAGTAGGCTAGACTTCAGAAGTTCAAAACATTTCAGTCCATTGTAACATCAGTCCTGTGAACATACTACATAATATAACAGATTCAGGCTCGCCCCTATAAAATGTTTGTTTCTTCTGGTATCAATGTAGAATTTTAGTAGTTCAATTAGTAAATTGGTTAAGACTTTCCCGGCCGAGATTTTTTCAGTCTTACTATCTTCATTCAGGTTTGAAGGCCATCGTAGTTTGGAACTGCATACTAACGTTTCCCCAGTACGAGCGACTGGCTTCTTCAGAGGCCTACTCATCTTTATGATTCACCAATGACTGATTTCTAGTTCGTAGGTAGCCTACAAAAGACTAAAAAGTCCAATCTCAGCTGCGGGAGTATATCGTACACCATGCACCTGCGAAAACGTTTATATCGGTACCACCAAAAGATCCATGAGTACAAGGCTGAATGAACTGTAGATTAGGTCAAATAGAAAAATCTGCAGTAGCGGAACACGCGTTTAGTGAAGGAAATCATACGATACTGTTTGAAGATGTGAAACTACCTGCCCCCGATCATGAATAACACAGTCGACTTGTACGGGAAGCCATAGAAATCCATAAACATACAGAAAACTACAACAGAAAAGAGGAGGCGGTAACACTTAACCGGATTTAGAATCCCATACTAAAAGATGCTAAAGTGGCAACAGTACAATGCAATGTTACGTCATTAACAGGTGATAACACTTCGGCCAATAGCAACGTATCAACAAGAGAGGTGGACTACCTGAGTCAACATAAATACAACCTACGAACTAGAAATGTCCAGTCATCGTTGAATCATCAAGATGAATAAACCTCTGAAGAGGCCAGCCATTCGTGCTGGAGAAACGTTAGGATGCAGTTCCAAACTACGACAGCTTTCAAACCTGAATGAAAATAGTAACACTGGAGTTGGCAGCGAATCAAATATTTTTCGGTGATCATAACCAATATTTGCCCAACAGACTATGTTTTATGTAGAATGTATAAATGAATCAAAACTGTTTAAATATACTGTGTGTTCCCCATATAAAATTCTAGTGTTGAGGTAGTTTTCCGTAAAACAGAAAATGCTACTGAATATATTTTGGGTCCAGCTATTTGAACTTGTGATAGCATTTGTACTACCAAAATTATTTTACAAAGAATATAATGATAATGAGGAGATAAGATTGAAGTTGCTGTTTATTGTAAGAATCTTGGACTGATTATGGATAATAGCTTACGATTTAAACACCATATCATCCAAAAATTAAAGAATGCATATATGTCATTGAAACTAATTTACAGTTAAAGACACTATTTGAACTACAAATTGAAAATCCAGTTGTGTGATAGTTTGGTTCTCTCGCACCTCAATCAGTATGACTTAATCTATGGACCATGTATTGACAGTTCTGTTATAAAAAGAGTACAAAAGGTTCAAAATTCTTGTTTGAGAATGATATATGGAATACGGCGTCCAAAGCGTATCTCATTAAATCATGCTGGATGACTTATGTTCAATCGTTGAAAGCATCATATGGCATGTTTTTTTACAAAACTTCCTCAATATTTATATCAAAAAGATAGATTTAGGACTGATGTACATCATTTGAACTTGCGACGGAAGAACATACTAACTTCACCCAAGCATAAAAAAGGATTTAAGGGATATTTTCCTATAATATAGCGACTATGGGCGATGTCCTGGATGTATCTAACTTTTCGTTGTCGTATAATGCATTTAAATTAAGGTATAAACGATTCTTATTCAGTCAACAATAGTTTGTTGCCTGTACCATGTGATTATGATTATAAAATTTTTCTTATCAGCCATAAGTGGAAACCCAAACTAGTTATTTTCAGTGTTTTATTGGTTTTTATTTGAATAACACTTTATTATGAGATTTTTACTGGACAGTTTACAAAACCGCAACACGTCTTTCACCATACAATAACTTCCTCAGCGTTATATGAACACGCGAGGAAAAGCTAATGCAAAATGAAACACGTGTTGCGGTTTTGTAACCTGTCCAATGGCGATCTGCCAATGAAGTGTCAAGTATCGGCCAAACGCACTAAAAATAAATATTTACTCGGCATAGGAAAAAACAAATTTACACACTAACATATCATTGAAATTATTTTTTTTTTCACAGATAACTGAATTTTTCACAGATAACAAAATCCATTTCTGCTCTAGGAATGGAATCGATAACTTTATTGGGATTCTCAGGTGCAGTTTTTCTATGAGAGCTATGAAAAACTTCTGTCAATTTTTGAAATGATATATTTTATTCATTTTCATTATTTGTAATCGAACGTTGAAAGCTAAAACCTCCACCTTTCCTTAGCTAGACATAACTTTATAGGAGAGTTACTAGTCAACAGTGGCAGGTAAAGGATGATTTTTCACGGTTTTAGTACAAAAAACGATCTCCAATGACTATCAAAATACACCAATCACTTGAAGAGAATTGATAAATTATTTCACCTCTCTTCTTTCTACATTCCACTCTCTGTATATTATTTCTAAATTTTTTCACATCACACCTTGTTTTAGTGTGTGTGTGTCTATAGTGAGAAATCAATATATTACATATTTTTCTCTTTATATTTTTTTTATTAGCATGTTGTTAATTCTATTAAAGTTTAAATGGTTTCACCATTTTGCCTATGTAAAATATATTCAATAAAAGAATGTATCCACCATTGGGCAAGTGTATGTATGAAGTCTAAAAATAGATGACATATTGGAACAGGCATTTCTTTCTGTTCTTGTTTTACACTTTCTGAATATCACTGCGGTGCAGCTTCATTTTGAAAAAGAATTAATTATTGGTGCTCGACTGGATGCGCATTAATTGTGTTCATCTATTTCCCCGAACACTTTGTTGTTTCAGAGCTGTTTTTTCCACTCTAATATGTTTCATTTGTAGTATCAGAATAAAATAAGTCAATAACAAATTCATTCTTGATTAAATGAAACCGTTTCTATCAACCCCATACCAATTGTGGCTAGTATTCTTCCTACACCTGCATGGATTCCCCAACGCCATATTTCTTTTCAATATAATAGATTGAAAATCTTAACTTTAAAAATGCCCTAATGGTCCTTAAGTAAAATTCACATTTATATTTTAGTAGTGTACTGAAGGAGTTCAGTTTCTCACTGTTTTTGTTTTATTTTCAGGAAAAATGGATCATATTTTCTCATGGAGATACCCGTTTTAATTATTTTTATAATACCTATCAATAATGCCAATCTTGCTAAAGTGTCAAATAACAACTATGTACTGACAATAAATGTTGAAGAAAGCGCATCTTTTATTCAAATGTAATCCAACCATACATCCAACTGACTCTTAGTTATTCCCAGAGTCACAGAATATATTTTTTGAAACTGGATTTTTTTTCACCAGAGTAATTGAACTTCGTTTACGAAACTGATATGAAACCATCCACCATAGTGTAAGTAGTAAGTAAGTGAAAAAACAGTCTTCCAAATAACTACACAGTCTTTCTACTATCAGATTCAAAAAATCATGGATTGGGCTCTAAATCAACTACGAACAGGTTAGGTGGTAGCCGGTTGGTTAGCATGAATGGTTAGTCCACGCATTTAATCAACCACCATTGTGAATGCGGAATTGATTGCTACTTTTAACGATGAGTGTTCGCTGCTTATCGTCTGATCTGTGCTTGGAAGCGAAAATCAAAAGTTTAAACCTCTTTAATCCTTAGCTCGCACAAGTTTAGACTTTTGAGAGTTGTCCTCCGTATACAGATGATAACTGGTCAACGAAATAACCCACTTCAATTCATTTTTAGAATACTGTTTCAGTTTGTTTTTGAAAACGTACCAATTGACTGAGTTGTTTTCCTTATTGGGAAAGGATAAACGAAAAAAATCCACCAGAAATCCTTTTTTTAGAAAGAAACTATTTGGCTTTCTACTTCTCTATCATCAAATGAAAAATGTGGAAAACTTCCCCTGTTAAATTTTGATCAATAAATAGAGGTCCTACAATATGGTTTCCCAATATTCCTGCCCAAACGTTAATTTTTATGGATATTGGGTATGTGTTTCCCGGAAAACGTGAGGGTTGGTGTCATTCCAATAACATCAATTTCGTCTGTGAACATTGCCGTTTGAAAAAAACGTACATTCATCACTAAAACAAATATTGTGGAGATAGGAGGATGCCTTGCAATGGTTTCCGTCATGATTTCGCAGAATCCTGTTCTTCCACCAGGTCATCTTCAGTTAATTGGTGAACCATTTTAATTTTGTATGGACGATACCTACACACATCGGAAAAGTCTAGGGATATTTTTAAAAATGGCAATAATTTTTTTTTAGATCGCTTTAGGGAAAAAAAAGTTGACGGGTGATTATTAAACGAATAGTTGATAGTCTTG